TCAAGGACGACAGGTTGGGAACTCGACGGAGCAAGCGGAAGGAATTGAGACTGTCTATCTTGATCTCAAGATCTGTAAGATGGGCCCATGTAATATGATCGAAGCACTGTAGTAAACCATAGGGGTAAAACCACATGTGCTTTACCTTGATACTGCGCAAGTTGGGCGGCAACGAGCTAACAGTGGGCATGACACCCCATATGTCGTTAAAACCATTCGTGTATATAAACAGCTCTTTGAGTGCGCGGAAGTCCGTCACTTCCAAGGAAGCACCACCATTGGGAATGTTACCCCAGAGATATCCAAGAGACAGAACCGATATTTGATCGATATATGGCTGAAGCAGGCATTGTAGCTCTGCCCAGTCGTCACCATGACACTCGAGCGTCAATGTCAGCTGACGTCCTTGTGATCGCTTGAGGCACAAATCGTAGCAAAAAGCTCTCTGCTGCCAGTTATAATATGCGTCTTCCAATCGCAGCCTGCACCATAGATCTGGCATGTCCACAGCAATCTCCCTCCATCGTCGACACACTCTGGTTAACAGCATCGGGGCCACGTGTGGCTCGGGCGCAAAATTTCCGCTTTCTGGGACGCAGTAACGGAAGATTTCGGCGAGGATTTCCGTGGGCAGTCGCGAAACGACTGAAGGAGATCCCTTCTGAGAATTTTCTGCGAGTTGTAGGTCACGATAGCTGACACCTATTTGGCCTGGACCATTGTGCATGTCTACATCCATCTGCTGAAGGGATGGTTATTATTATATTCAGACGTCAATACCTCCACAACTGAGCACTTACAATATTCTGCAGTGTATCTGTGACTGCTGGTAAACCGGCAGCGGCATTTGAGGTTGGGGTTCGCCTATTAACGTCGTGGATGTCCGGTGGGAACCACCACCGCCCGCTGGGGTTTTGCAAATTGTTGTAATGGATGGCCGGGGGGAACGCCGGCGGCGTGGTGGGGTTTTGCAAATTGTTGTAATGGATGGCTGGCGGGAACGCCGGCGGCGTGGTGGGGTTTTGCAAATTGTTGTAATGGATGGCCGGCGGGAACGCCGGCGGCGTGGTGGGGTTTGGCAAATTGTTGTAATGGATGGCTGGCGGGAACGCCGGCGGCGTGGTGGGGACTGTGAGGACCATGGGGGGAAGAAGATCATCCATAGGACAAAAAAACTTTAAGGATGTTGAGATGTTGGGAGATTGGAAGTAGGAAGTAATTGTAGCGTTCGGCCAACCGTCGTGTTCTTATTTAAATGTCAATGCTTCATAAGCCACAAGTCCACAAAAAAACACACTCCGCCATTGTGGTTTCTTATAGTGGGTCTTAGCTGAAACACCAGCCATCCCGGGCCACATCTAGAGACCTTGCATTATTGCAAAGGGAGTCAGTGCGAGTGGAAGTGTGATCTCGCTCGCCACTACTAGCCTACCGGGACATTTTATCTTCTTAGGTGGACAAGAACTGAAAGTCACAGAACAGCTTGGTTGGGTTGTGACCTTTATTGTGTTGTTGATTTGATGGGTGTGAAGAACTTGGAGGTACTCACGAAAATCAGGCTCGAGTCTCCTTGGCAGCTCTCCACGTTCCTACCGTACGCGCTGGAGGGCCAATTTCCTTTTCGTCGATAACGTCTCCGCTATATTCTTAATCATGAACCTCAGTAATGGCGCACCTGAACTTTGCTCTTGTTCAATGAAAAAAAATCTACTATCTTCAGTTTCCTCGAGTATTGATGTGAACTTGGGCCGAACATCAGGAAGTGAAACTCAAACAAGGCGACTTCACGAGTATCGATACTCTCCGGGTTGTGAGTTGAAATGTTGTGAGAACGAGCATATATACCAGTACTGATTGAGCATGATTGAGTCGGTCATTAGGGCCTCACATGACATTGTTTGTTTATGTACTTAGACATGCTCGCAGGAACATGGTCTACCATCATCACCATCACCTGCTTTTAGAATTCTTGTCTTCCAGCTGGATCCAGTGAAACAACAGTAGGTGATCGACTTGCAAAACGAAACTGCTCTGGAGCGGGAACCAGCAAAAACTCGAATGCCAAGGGGGAACGGAAAGATACGGCGTTTGAGTCTCGTTCTGACGACACAAACGACAACGCCATGCTAGTCGACTCTAACAATGCGAAAACGACGGATAGAGACGAAGGGAAGATGCAAGGCAGAGGCGGAAGAATGTAGTAATGAAGGGTCTCTATCAAGGCAAGACTTTGTAACTCACGGGTTTCCGTCTGACTCCATTCCCTATTAATAGACTTAGTAGCTTGCTCCAGACTTGCCAACCATTTTGAAAGGTCATATGAAATCCCTCCACATAGAAGGTCCGCTGACCAATGTGTCATTTCTGCGACTACCGGAAGTTCGAATAAACGAGTCATGGCGTTCAAGACGTCTTCCAACCCTAATCAAGCTTCGTCGCAGCATGCTGCGCGGAATAATTCGATACCGTATTTCCGAACTTTCCGCATTATCATAACCCTGGCATTCAACGCGGAAACTGCGGTTGCGTCAGCGAAACGTGTGGGGTCTATAGTTCAGCAAACGTCCTCGCACGAACTGTGACGACACAGACAATATTAGCATTTTGTGTGCTAAACTAACGGGTGCAAGCAGTCTGGCGTCTCTTACTTGGATGACCAGTCATGTATTGATGACTGCATGATAACACCGTCGGATCAGTAGAATTGGAGCACTTCATCGCTGTTTCCCACCAATTTCCCGCCTCAACGGTGGACCCAATGTCCCTACATTGAAATGAGCTCGACACCCTAGGTAATTCAGGGCTGCCCTCGGTGAGAGAATCCATGTTTGATTTTGAGATATGCAACTCACTCAGCGCTATGCCGCAACCCACTGAATGCAACGTCCAGCAATATCTGGGTCCCCAATTTCAAGTGCGCGCCTATCGCGGCTTCCTTCCCAAATACGAGTCTAGTGCTTTCTCGGCCTGCAATGAACATGGCTCCGGTTTGTACATCCAGTAGGATTGCAACTACTGGCTCCATGGAGGACTAGAACTCCCGAGATGTCCCCTGCATTGGTCGTTAGGCGCCTTCGCACTTGACAGCATTCATATTTCAGTTGTGATCAACAGGTAGACTCACCATTCAGTTGGACTTGCGTACAATACAATCACACTATCTGGGTCCCCAATTTCAAGTGCGTGCCTATCGCAGCCTCCTTCCCAAATACGATTCTAGTGCTTCCTCGGCCTGCAATGAACATGGCTCCGAAATGTACATCCAGTAGAATTACAACTACTGGCTCCATGGAGGACTAGAACTCCTGAGATGTCCCCCGCATTGGTCGCTAGGCGCCTTCGCACTTGACGGTATCCATATTTCAGTTGTGACCAACATGTACACTCGCTTTTCAGTCGGACTTATGCATCTTGCCACTCAGGATGCGTTCAATGTTGCGTGTTTGTACATTCTGGATCGTTTATCCGGTGACCCTGGGGCACTGCCAGGTCATGTATAGACTCGCGTCGTGACGCTCTATCATTCGCCAGGCATCACCATTTTGCCGATCCAATTTACAACTTGACAAAGTCTGCTCCTCCTATGTGTAGGACGTAAAAGCGAACCTGCTTTTTACCGTGTTCACTCAACTCAGAGCCATCATTCGAGATCAGATTCTATATCATCCTGCACAGAAATGCATTTCTCCATCCTCACCATTATTGTTGCCTTGACGGCATCTGTGTCCGTCAGTGCATCATGCAGTAACCTCGGCCAACAATGCTACAAAACATCGGACTGCTGCGGTAACTTTTTTGCTTGTAAGCCGGCTGGCAATATTGTGAGCACGGATGTCTGTTTGATACAACTCCATGGCTCACTCTTTAATCCTCATAGAAAACCTGCCAATACAACTCTGAAGAGTAGATCCAGCTGGAGTCACTGGCGCATCATAACATATCCATGTCTTCGCATTCATGATATCATGGGTGATGGCACAATATGTAGCTCGTTGAGTTGGGGGTTTGCGTAGGGCTGAGCAATGAGGTTTCAGTGAAGAAAATAAATACTGTTTTTCCCAGGAATGACTTGCCGGCTGGTTGTCGGAACGATGTTGAAGCCGGGAGTCAGTGATTTGAGATTGCAGTTCAGTTGGCAAGCGTCAGAGAGTCGATGCAAGACTCTTGTGCAGACTCATAGACCGGGTAGTGTATGCTCCTTTTCGGAGAGATGGTCCCAATGCTCGAGATCACCTATAACTCCTTCCCGGCTTGAGATCGCATGCAAAGCCGCATCCAGCTATTCCTGGTATTTGTTCATCATGGCAGTAATGCTCTGCACGTCGAGCTTGGCGGCAATGTGGCTAATTGAATGCGTTGCTTCGGCTCGAACTCGGAGGTCTGGCATCTGCCAGTGGTCATCATCAATGAACGGCATGCGGTGCATATATAATATATCATACACAATTGACGGTACCGTCAGTCACTTGTGATTAAATTAAAGCTGAGCGAGGTTTGTTATATTTGTATGCGAATACTCACACAATGCTCTGCAGTGCAGATGTATCAGAGAAATTGGTTTTTGAACCGAGTTGTCTGCATGTTGTTACGCATTACTACGACGCGACTCCGAGCCTGACTCGGAGTCGGCGCGACGGATTCAAACGATTGCACGAGCCTCGAGGGCTACTGTTTGATATTCGTCCGTCAAATCTTGTTCAAATTCGCAGCTAACTGCGTCGAGGGGTATACAAAAACGTGGCCTCAGTCCTATGGAGTCACTGTAGGCTGTCACGGTGCACCGTAGTTGACCTTGAGTTGACCCGTTGCTGACTTGAGAGAGAGCGGCTGCCAGTAGTACAAGGTGAGGCTATTGTGGTACCAAACGTCATTGGGTCGTTGATCGGATATGGGCTACGGATAAGTGGCCTCGATTACAAGATAGAACGTTCTGTGTGGGTTGAAAAAGGGTGTCAATGGCGTGAGCGATTGCGCAGGAGTTCGCGACGGGCAAAAAGATTTGAACAGAGTGAGATTCGAACTCACGCCCCCGAAGAGACCAGATTCCGTGCTCATCTGATGAGCTGGTACTCCTTAGTCTGGCGCCTTGGACCGCTCGGCCATCTGTCCTTGTTGTCCTGATTTCCCTGAACATATTGATCCGCGTCTATCTATATGTGGCTTATACATAAGGTTTGTTTGGCAACATTTATTTCTGAAGGTATTGGACAACAGACACAAACAAGCCTTTTGGCAACTTTGGTGATGAGATTTCTTCCAACAGGGCAGAGTCATGCACCTGAGCGTCGGTGGATTAGCACGTGTATATCCACCCAGATCTTGCGGTACCAGTTGTACTCGTTCTTTGGCAACTTCTCATCTAAGGCGCTCTGCTACTATTCATACTGAACATGCTCACTGGCAGTTACTAAATAAAAGCACGAATGCGCTAGTCAGCATCCCAACTAAAAATCACAATCCTAATCCTCATGGACCTTTGAGTCATCTTACCGTCGCAGTCAAGGATAATATATGTACAACGCACCTACCAACGACATGCTCGTCAAGCATGCTTCGCCGTATGTCGACCAGCTGTGCCTCATTCTCGTTCTAACTCTATTGCAGACTTCACTTCACCATTTGACGCGACGGCAGTGGAGCTTCTGAAGGCGACAGGCGCGAATATCATTGGGAAGGCTAATTGCGATGAATTTGGAATGGGGCAAGTCTTACCCTTTGGGTTTCGCTGCTTTCCGCTAACACTCCATTCAGGTCCCTGAATGTGAACAGTATCCATGGTCCCGTGGTCAATCCGTATCATTCTCCAAACGAGAAACACATACCTCGGGCTGAGCGCGAAAAAAGATCGGCGGGTGGAAGCTCTGGTGGAAGTGCTGCGGCTGTTGCAGCTGGTCTTTGTGACGCGTGAGTTGTCAACTTATCGAATTGGCATAGCACTCACCGGGAGACAGTGCACTAGGTACAGATACAGGTGGCTCTGTTCGTCTTCCTGCGTCGTACTGCGGTGTTACGGGCTTGAAACCCTCGTATGGCCTCATCAGCAGGTCTGTTACTTCACAACTCATTCTTTCAGAAACTCATGGACGGCAGATGGGGTGTGGTTTCTTTTGCTGATAGTCTTGACTGCGTCGGTGTGTTTGGCAAGTCTATGGACACAGTGAAGACTGTATTTGGTGAACATGACTGTAATGTGCGAGAGCACCTGAGTTGACAGTTCGAGCAGACTCGATTTCATCGTATGATCCAAAGGATCCTACTGCAGCGACACCTCATACAAGAGAGAGGGCAAAAAATTCAGCAGAATCACTATTATCAACTCTGGATACGAACTCGTCTGACCCTGACCTCTCGTCACTTCGGATTGGGATACCACAAGTCCGTCTCCGCTCTCAGTTTACTCGACGTGCTCACAATTTGAGATAGGAATATTTCCCCTCTGAACTGAACACTACTATCGTGACCGCGGTTCGCAAGGTTCTAGAGCGACTGTCGTCACTTGGTGCTCAATTGATTCCTGTCTCTCTTCCATCGACGCCATATGCATTGAGTGCATACTACGTCATAGCAAGCGCAGAAGCGTCAAGCAATTTAGCGCGGTATGATGGGGTTCAATATGGTTGGCGATGAAGCCCAAAAGTATGCTTCTCATGAACTGATCCTGTTCAGGTACTCGTTCCCCTCTACCCCCTGGCGTAGATAAATCCAAACCAGGCAATGTATACGCACATACGCGCTCGGCAGGGTTTGGAGTGGAAGTGCAGAAACGCATCCTCCTTGGCACTTATGCACTCACAGCTGAGTTCGTACATCCCGTTTTATTGAAGCCCCGACTGAAGTCATTGGGCACAGTGCATTTGACAATTACTTTCTGCAAGCTCAGCGCGTCCGACAGCAAATCAAAACCGATTTCAACTCTGCTTTTCGTGTCCCCAATGCTCAACTATCCAATCCCTCACCAAATCCCGATGGCGTGGATATCCTCTTGCATCCCTCTGCGATTCGTAGCGCTCCTCGGCTAAACTCAGATGCAGTCTCTGGTCTGGGTCCATATTTGCAGGACGTTATGACGGTACCCGCTTCTCTGGCTGGCTTACCAGCAGTCAGTGTCCCTGCTGGGTTAGCCGCCGACGGTTGGCCTGTTGGTGTCAGCGTCGTTGGACAGTGGGGTTCTGACGAACTAGTGATGTGCGTTGGGAAGGTGATCGAACGGACATCAAACGAGGATAATTCTGATTCTAATTTTGCTTTTGATTTTGCTTTTGAGGCAATAGTTGATGTGATTAATGAGCTTGATGCTACATAGATGATCACGATTGGATTGTCGATCCAAGCCCATTTCAATTAGAGCAAACGCAATTACTGCTCCTTGGACAGAGGACTGACGTTCAAACACGTAACAGAGTGGTGAATTATGACGGGTAACGTGTGGTAGTACTATACAAATGTATGCGAAAACAATGTACGATTGAATGTAAGATACGATGTGGGACTGTGAAAGTGCGGGGAGGGCAGTAACATAAATGGTGTAGATCTAGGTTAAAAAGATGAATTTAAACATAGCTTACTGAAGGGTCTTGATAGGGACCCTACCTCTCAAAAGCCTGAAATTCAATTGTGCTTGCCCCATCGCAAGACGCCCTCGTATATCGAGTACATCACCGCTGCGTTAGGGACGACACGCATTAAATGCGCACTCAGCCCGCCATAGAGGGAGCGGGCTCCCTCCTCGGCAATGACTGTCCGCAGCGTTTGCCAAAGACCTGTGTACTTCGTGACGCCGTTCACAGACGGTTGTCGTAGTCGTGTCCGTAGAACCTGTACTATATGAGAAGAAAGATATTCCTGCTGGCCAAAAGACGCACCTCATGGGGATATGTGATCAAACTAGCGACGCACTTCGCAGTTCCGGCACTACCAAGCATTCCAAACCACTGAGCCATGCCTCCACGGCCTTCAGTGTCTGCAGATAACCGCTTCAGGCGTTCATAGAGCACCCATTGAATAGTTCCCTCTGTCACGCCCAAGTAGCTAGCACTCAAGCCCTTGTAAAAGCCCTTGATACCCTCTTCACGGAAGATCTTCGTGATCATTTTGTAACTAGCTCCAAGGGCGCGTGAAGGTCCAGCGGTTGCTCCAGGATTCGTACTTGCAAGTGAGGAGGGATGTCGACGTTCCGATGCTGTAAGTTGCAGACGCGTCTTGACAACCCAGATAGGATTTGTTGCTGTCCCCGTTGTTATACCAGCAATTGCAGCTGCGGCAAGGTGGACATATGAATTTTCTTGACCGTTGTTGAATTGGTTGGCGATAATGTGCTTGCCGTTACCGTACGTGAAGAAATTGATCGAACGGGCAGGTATGACACCGACTAGAGTTGGTCCAAGGCCTTTAAAGAGCGCTTGCGGAGACTCATCACGGTATATGTCACTGAATCGCGAGACCCCTTCAACATTTGATCACATGTGTTAAAGATGCTATTTACCGTAGAATGTGTCCAGTCTCGACGAAATTCCACAGCAAACCACTTGAGCGTTGCGGGAGCGCTGCAACACCACCTCCTACAACCCCGACTGAAGCGTGTTTTTCCCTGAAAAGACTGGACTGCAGCCGCGTCTTGACAACATCGAATGGACTCGTGATGATAGCACCGCACATTCCACCCAAACTAACATCATGAAAACATGTCAAAAAAGAGAGCATATTGTACGCATATGAAGTATGAGCTCACCCTCCTGCTACAAAGTGCTGCCATGATTTTGATGGGAGGAGACTACTGGATGCAGTCGGGTTTGTCGTAGTTGGGGGTGCACCAGCCATTATATCGATCTAGCAAATATCCTCCCAAAAAAAAAAGAAGTCTAGGATCCAAAAGACAGTTGAAAACTTGAAGGAAAGCGGCGAGGGGCAATTTTAGGCGACGCTAATTTTTTTAATACACGTCACGTGGTATGTGAAAAATAATGATTAGATTATGCAGGATTCATGGAACACGATCGATCGCAACCATGACTCTTCCATCAAATTATTATATACTTCGAGTCTGAGTTGGACATGCAAGGTCGTTCACTATAGAAGGACCGTTGGATACAGGTTGTTGAAGACATGTTTGTTCTATCCATAATAAAAGTAAGCGTTTCTTGATGCAGTCTTGTAACTCAAACAATATTGATTTATCACTATAGGATACTATTGCAATTCTGCCAGCAAACTTTGGTGTACCTCCAGCACAAGCTCTTATTGCTGAAATCAACAAAAAATATGCCAATAGAGTCCTCCACGATGTAGGACTGTGTATTTGCACGTTTGATCTGGTAGAGGCGGGTGAAGGAAAAGTACGATATGGAGATGGGTGTTTATGGTATAAAGGTGTGTGCTCAAAATTTTTGTCTGTCCTGTAGCTACGACTTACCTTTATGAACAGTTAGATTCAGAATGGTCGTTTTTCGACCATTCGCGTCGGAAGTGATCCTTGCGAAAGTGAAGTCATCAGACGAAGACGGCATTCGATGTATGGACGCTACTTCCTTCTCTCACAAATACTAATTGTACCAGTGAGCGTAGGATTTTTTGACGACATCTATATACCTTTAGCATATCTACCTCAACCATCAGCCTTGTATGTCCTGTAATTCGCCATTCTCTCCAAGCTACTCACGCTGCCTGTAGTGACCCAAATGAGCGTGCTCATTTCTGGCTGCCAGACTCAGAGGCAAAAACCCCGCACGAGCTTTTGGAATCTGCAACAGCAGACCGTATGTACATCGACCAAGGGGAAGTGGTACGGGTTCGTGTTGAGGCTGACGAATTTTACGACGACGAACCTGGTCCGCCAAAAGCATCGGAGGGTGTTGCAGTAAAACGAGAGGCCCGGCGCGCGCCATATAGCATGATTGTGAGCTTGCAAGTGTGGCCCGCGTGCGCTAACTAATTATTATTTCTGCAGTGCTCCATCGCAGAACAGGGACTCGGGCCTGTCCCGTGGTGGAAGAGCGCGCAGCCTGATGGCGATACCATGGACGAGGAATGATTCGCTTTTTTATTCTGCTTTTAATGGAACCTTCATTTAATTTGCAGTGATGTATGTTTGCGTTTTGACTTTCTCTAAATTT